TCCAATTAGCGAAAAATTGCACTGGACGCTCGTCTCCGCATTTAGTGGCAATTGGCCATAAGCGTATGTTTAATCCATTGTTGTGAAATATACGTCTCCCTGTTTTTTTTTCGCTAATCGTTTGCCCAACCGTGTCCATTAGTTCCTCGATATTCGGCATCTGGTATTTATTCTTATGCACTTGTTTATTTAGTTCCCTCGACTCTAGTGCCAATTTTACCGATCCATCCTTCTTTACGGTTATTACTATTGGGGACACAAAATATTTGTCCGAGCATTCAGATAATTTTTTCGATATGACCCTGTTTCAATAATTTGTCAATTTCGGCATCCACTTTTTCTTGCAACGAAATCGGGTTTCAACGCCCTTTCTGTTGTACTGGGGTGAGGTTTTCAAAAAATTCAGCTGCTACTTTGTAGTTTCTTATTTTCCCTACCCTGCTAAAAAAGATTTGAAAACTGCTTACTGAAGTATGTTTGCCACGAATCCAACTCCCCCTCTGGTTCCTCTGGTTCCAGTGCGTCGTGACTGCCTTCTTCAATGGACATGATTTGGTCCCCCGGTGTTTGTTGCACCAACTGGAGTCCTAGTTGGGGCATCAGATCCCTTCCAATTATTGATGGTCGGTTCCCCCCGATCACTTTTATCCTTGCCTGGATCTTCCAACCGTTGGATTGGATTGTTACTGCCATTGTTCCAATCATCTGTAGGGGATTGTTTCCATAATCCCGAAAAGCATTATCCTCCTCCGTCAGATTGTCCAGTTTTACTCCTGATGTTCCCAATGTTTTCCGTAATTCCCCGATTGTAAAAATTGAGATTGGGGATCCGCTATCGATCCACACGCGAGTAGGTTTCCCATTGACTTTTATCGGCAATTGTGCCCCAGCAACTTTCAATTCTGTCACTCCTCTCCGTTTTATGGCCATGACCATATAGTCCCCGTCAGAACTGCTGGAGTCCCACGAGTGCACCACTGGATTCTTAGTGACCCATCCAATGGAACTTGCGTGTTGTGATGCTTCTTCATCCGCAGAATTTTCTAGTTGATGATCGTCCACATTCTCCCGTATCATTCCTACGGCTCCCTGTCCTCGTTGGTTTCCACGTTTGCCCCTGCAGGTTCTTTCGAAATAGCCTATTTTATGGCAAAAATTGCATGTAACCCCTTTTGCTGGGCATCTGTCCAAATGTTCCCTGGTGAAATTTTGCTGATCGCAATTATAACATTTGTTGTTATTTAGGGGATTCCTTCCTCGATACGATCCCCGGCCTTGGTAAGAGCCCCGGCCCCTTGAACGGTTGTTCCGGTACCCTCCCCGGATTATTCCAACTGGTTCCGATTTTATTTGGATTCCTCCTGATGATGATCCAGGGGTCCCCGCTGGTCCCGTGGCAACATATGAGGATGCATACTTGCTGCCCTTTTCGTACGAGAGAGCTATCCGGTACACTTCCTCAGGTGTTTTTGTCGATCTGCAGAGTTCTTTTTGTGCATCCCGATTGTTCATATTAACGATGAATACGTCTCTTAGTATTCGGTCCTCTAGTGTTCCAAAATTGCACCGCGCTGCCAATCCGCTGAGTACGGAATGGAATTGCTCAAGACTTTCATTTATAAATTGCTTACGAGAAAGGAGTTGGTACGTTTCATATGTTTCGTTCCTTTCTTTCTTGAATTCCGCTTCCAGCGCGTCTATCATTCGTGGGTACCGAATCGTCTGAAGGTCCAGGTGTGGTCGTCGTTTGTGCAGTTCATCCTGCCCCTTCTCCCCCAAACACAAGTACAGGTTCGAAATTAACACCATTTCCGATTCCCGCCGATTTTTTCCGTCTACTTCCGCGGGCAAGTCAGTAATTTGTGCGGCTGTGAGATTCGCGGCGAAATAAAAATTCATTGGATTTAGCGAGTGTTTGGCGACCATTCCCCATTGGAATCTGTTGATCCAGAATTCCCACATCATTGGCGGTTCCGTGCATTTTGCTGGCCAAAATCCCGTGATGCCCAGTGGATTCTTTCCCCCACCTAATCCTGCTGACTGCGCCATGTCGAGAAGGTAAAACGATCGTCGAGCAATTGTTAATTCCGAGATAAATATACAGTAACTTAATCTTGCAAAGTTAGCATCAAGAGTGGTTAGAACAATATCCAAGGGTGACAGACAGATCCAAGGACAAACACCTGCTAATCAATTAGTCTAGCACCAAGAGTGAACAATTGATTGACAGCTTTGGAAATGAACTAAATTACTCAATACGACAAACCAAAAAATGCATATTGCCAAGCTGCACCGAGCGTTAATCGATCATAATCAATTATATTGTCATAACAAGGCCAGTATCTACAAAATTACAAATTTATTGATTATAATCCCTTAAATTGGGGCACTTAGCATAGTGGTAAGGCGTTCACTTTAGAATCGTCAGATCGTGTAATCGATCCCATGCCATGGCAATGATAGTGTGTGAGGACGAGCTCTCACTTGACCTCTAGCTTCAGGTCTACCACAACCTGACCAAACTTGACTGCAATAGTGGTACAACGTGAAAGTTCTAGATGCACAAAAACGGCCTTGAGTCGCAAAAAAACAGCTTCGCTCAACAAAATAACACAGTCTGGAATGTGGGGAAATAATACAAACGGACTATCCTCGACAGGACTGTTAAGGCCTACTGATAGCTCCTCTGCGATTCGCAGGAACTACAATTATTATTAATTGTTATTAAAATGGACTATAATTCTAATATTTTTTTATGTCAATATAATCAATTATAATCGATTGTAATCTATTAAAATTGGATTTTAGTCCTAATTTTTTTGAGGCCAATATAATCCATTGTTATCGATTACAATGGATTTTTTCGAGAGAATAATCATAAAAATTACAATTTTTTTCAAACTTATCTTATTTCCTGTTTAGTGCAGTTGCTACGTATTACATTTCATCAAAAAAATTTCATTTCACATTAAAATTTCAATCTTTTTGGCGCAATTCATCTCAGTTTTGACCCCCTTTTACTTTACACCCACTTTACTTTAACCTCCCCCCCCCCCCCTTACCCCCTCCCTGCCAGTTTACCACAAGCACCATTCGCCCCCTTATCCCCTTATGATTGAACATGGGGGATTTTTTATTGATAGACTCTAGGGGAGGGGATTAATGATTGACACCCCCTCAGTTTATCCCTCCCCCCTGAGAGGAGGTGAAAAAAAATTTGAGGGTATTACGGTGACGTTGAGACATGGCATTTAGTAAAAGACATGGCATGCATTTTTCAAAGTTCTTTCAAATTTTGCAAAAGTGCTGCAAAATTAGTCGAATTTAGTTCTGAATATAAATTGGATTATTAATCTATTATAATGCCTCCTAATGGATTTTTATTTCAAAAAATACTCGGTTATAATGGATTATCTCGGCAAAACTAATCAATTTTCTGGTCAAAAATAATGGATTATACTCGGTTTTAATGAATGATAATGAAATTATGGCAATATTGAATATTACATCTTTATTGGAATATAATGGATAATTTTTGTCTCGGCAATCCATTTTTTTCGATTAGAACCCATGGGCGCTCGGTGCGAGAAGGATACGAGGAATCCAATCGTGATCAAAAAAAATAAAAAGGTGAACAAAATTGCTAGAAAAATTAATAATGCTAGCTGACTTTCAGTCGGTTTGAGCTTATAAGAACAAAACAGTGAACGCAGATTTGTGAGAACAGTTTGCGGAAACCTAAACTGTATTAAAATTATCTCATAAATCTTTGACCTGCTTTGGAATTGGAAGAAACTTTGTATTTTTGATGATAAAATTCAATCTAAACCGGCTATTTTTTTTTCCAAAGTACTGAGAAAGCCAACCGGCAGAGCAACACAAAAGGGTCAGCAGCAAAGTACTATACATAAAACCTTGCCACCAAAGTTAGCCTCATTGGAATTGAGGACAGTATCGACTCTTAGTCGCCAGCTAAAACCTGGTATCAAAGGAAGACTATCAGCTGAGAACACGATTTACCTTACCCCCCTCCCCTTTACCCCAAATGACTCCTACTTTGAACGTGATAGATACGACAAGAACAAAGGGCAGTAAGCCACGCAATCACATGTGGGAAAACATTGAACGAAGGGTCAGAACGTATAAGATTAAAGACCTAATCAAAACAAAAACCAAAAAAGGCATATTGCCAACCCGCACCGAGCGCTAAAGGATCATACTAGAATAGGTAGCTTCTGATTTCTACCTATTCTAGTGTCGTTTTTTCTGTGTGCTGTGATAAAAAAGTCTGAACAAAAAATAGAAGTTAGGCAAATTGACAGTCATAGTCAAACAGGCCAATTGGAAAACAGTGTTTGTAGAATAATAGCTCCACATTTTTCAAATTCCTCCACATTTCACAAATGGTCTGAACAAAAAGAAAACCTGGATTCCTCCCTTTTTTCTGTTGATGATTGGCTTTTCCTAAAAAAAAATCTGAAAAAGTGAAAAGATTTTGGATCGAATTTAAAGATTTTAGATTGGTGACAAATTATTTTTTATTAACATCCAAATTTGTGGATTATAGGAAGATGGACCAAGTGATGTGCAACATGGACGATCTGATATCTAAGTTGGTGCAGGAGAACGACAGTCAGGGTTGTCTGAGGGCAGACTTCGAACGGAGCACCCACTGCTTAGATGTCAGTTGAGATTCATCTTAAGTTCACTTTTGAGTCGCCAATAATTTGGCGCTATCTCTAATAATAGATTGAAAAAAACTGTATATTGGAAAAAAATTGATGTACTTGTGCACTACTCAAAATAGGTATACGCTAGTTTTTTTTAAATGAAGGGAAAGTTATTTATAAGACTTTTCAGGAGCTGAAAAGAGAAGTTATCCAAGAGAAGCAGTACTCGGCCGCAAAATCACAGCAGATTGCCACACTAAACATGAAACTGGCGGTAAGTGGTTATCTTGTTTTCGGTCAACATTCTGACAATTATTGCTGATGATAGCGGCAATTTTATTGACGATAATTTAAAATTATGGCGACAATTTTATCGACGGTAAATTAGGAGTTCTATTTGAGAGTTTGGTTTAAAAACTTGTTCATTCTGCCATCCAGAATATGTAGTAGGTTCCGGCGACTAGTATGATCATGTAGATGATGAAGAATATTCTGTTGACGACTAGTGCTGCGAATGTCCAGTCGTCGTTCTTCCTGTCGAACTCGTCTCGCTTCTTCAGGTAGTTGGCCACGTACTCCACCAATGCAAATGCTTCTAGTTCCTCACTGTCGTTTAGAAGCTCCATTTCCGAAGATCTAAGGCAGCAAAACTTAATTGCCCTGAGCGCAAGTCTGCAACCTATGTTTTTTAATGGGAGAAGTTGTGATGCCAAAACCTCTTTTTTTGTTGTTGTTGTTGTTGTTTGTGCCTTTTCCTGGAGAGCAATGAAATTATTGGGATCACGAGTGCCTTTGGCATAAAATTATAAGAACTTTAGATGATTGATTCAAAAAAGGATTCCTCAACTTTTGTTGTTGGAATATTGTACAAGACCCTGAGCTTGAGTCGTCTTGAAATATTGTCCTTCGTACCTCTGGTTTTGCTGTGATGCCATCTCGTTATGCCAATCCAGCATTGGGGGAGGAGTGAGACAGGTCTCACTGAAGGGACCCACAAAACTGGTCTCCAAGATGGGAGTGAACCCCCCATGAGGGGAGTCGAGGGAGGACACCATTCCACTGTCCGATCCCCCATTGTGGTTGTCGTACTGGAAGGGGGGCAGGGTGAATGTGGCCGGGTAGAAGGGGATCCCGTTGAAGTTGAGAGGTTCTGTGTCAAACAAATAATGAACTCAAAAAGTTTCAAAAATCAAAACCAAAAACTGAAGCTTCGCTAAACGCTTTGAAATTTTAAATAATTACGTGTACTTTCAAACTAAATGCTATTTGTTATGATCTTTTGTTATCTAGATTCCTAGATATTTGTGTCCAATCGCACGATCGAATTGTAATTCTTTTTTTAGCTAATCCAAAGAATTTTATAGCATTTTTTTAAATAATGATTATTGATAATAACGCTGTTTGACAATTGCGTACCGGCTATTTTCAGCAGGTTCTGACCATTCTGCATGTGGTGTATGATACTGCCCTCTGGGGTTCCGGCTGCCGCAATTGAGGCCCTGACGAAATCGTTCTTGATGGCCACATCCACAGCCTGGCCATGGTAGCTAACAGTGGGTTTGTTGCAGTACATCAGGTTGAACTGTTCTAGATCTTCATGTTGCTGTCGCCGCTCTTTAGAAAACAAAATCAGATTTTACAAAAGCTGCATTTCGAATCTAGTTATGATTATGGTTTTCAGTAGATAATATTTGTCATTCCAACAGTATAGCAGCAGAAATTAACATGATTTTTGTGAGCATCGGGATGAAAATATTCTTACAACTTCCTTTATTTGCGTTACTATTCCTTCCATTGTCCAAATATCCTCACTAACCTTCTAGTTTGGCCCTGCGCATGAATATGAATCTAGGTATGGTCTCCAATATGGCCCATCGGAACCACTTGGCCATGATGTCAGTGGAGGGAGATCTCCAGTGGATATTGACCACTATGACGCAGAACAAGGTGTTAATAATGGCCATCAGAAGACTAAAAACAGAAATTTTCAAAAGTTACATCGAAATTGTCATTGCTCACTATCTTGCGAATACATATTAAAAATAGAAAAAAAAACATTTTTAATTTTTTTATAGAAAATCTAATAAAAAGTTTCCTTGATAACTATGATGTTTCAATTGATATCTACAGGTTCGAAATTTTAAAATACCTGTTGCATTTTTGAAGATCTGCCTTAAAAGCATCATTTCTCTACAAAATTCAAAAATTAACTCTAAAAGTTCAAAGAATTAATGGACCTGAAGAAGCAATACTCAATGAGCAGCGGTATATTATGAGCCGTGGAGGGCATGAGACGCACAATGATCAGCCAGGGCATGATGAAAGCCAAGAAGATATTGGCTGTGATGTTGAGTTTGGTGCCTCCGTAGCTGGGTAGCAGAAAGGTGAGGATGCCGACTATGTTCAACATGAACATAGGTGTAAGCAGGGTGGCTTCGTAGAACAACGGCTTCCTCTTAAGGTGGAAAGTGACTGTTACTTGAGAATGGTTGTAGCCTCCTGGAAAAAAAAAACTCATATTAATATAGTAGTTTAGTTAGCTTTTCTTTGATAGATTTTTGCTGGTTTCGGGTTATTTAGTCTTGCCTTTCAAATGTTTTGCGTTTTGATTTGGTCTGCAGATTTGGTCCTTTTTCATGGTCCCTTGACCGTTTAATTGACATAATTTTTAATTTCGCAGATTTTATCCTATTTCAAAATTCTCTCTCCGTGGCCTGGTGGTGGGCGAGGTTTGCGCGCGTTGCAAGCAGTGATTGGGAATTACAATTGGTGACCAAATAGTTCCAATTAACTGAGTGCAATTCAGTGACCTTCTTGTTCCCCAAAATTCTAGCCATTGAAAAGCAAAGCTGATTAAGGTTCCGACTTCGAAAAAAGTGAGCATTATGTATCCTCGGGTGGTTTTTTATTCAGACCAGTTTTGAACAAAAAAACTTGACTTGAGGGATTTATCCCTGGATCTTGTGGGCCCCGCCGAGTTCGGACACCGAAAGTGTACACAGAAGTGTAACGCGCTTTCTTTACGCGTGGAGAATTATCCCCCACTTACAAAAATCATCCCAATTTGAAATGACGCAAGCTAAATGCTCTTATTATTTCCATACACGACTAAAATTTGATAATACAACCTTCAATTCAAAGTTTGTCAATATTTCATTAAGCAAAAACTATACGAGATAAGTTGATGGGCAATCGGAACATTCACGGCTATGCGCTGGTACGAGCTGTTCTGTTGTTCCGACTAGCTATTTTTCCTTTTCCCCCCAGCTTTTAAAAAGGCGTTTTTTATTTTTCATTTGACGCTAGAGGGTTATAAGTTTTAATAGCAGACAGAATACATTCAAATAGGTCTTTTTTGTTTCTTAATTGCCACTTAAGTTCGCATAGGTAGCTATCTAGACTTGAAAGATAAGTTCCCACCTGTTTCCTGTTTTCCCTGGATCTTGTGGGCCCCGCCGAGTTCGGACACCGAAAGTGTACACAGAAGTGTAACGCGCTTTGTTTACGCGTGGAGAATTATACCGCACTTAAAAAATCATCCCAATATGAAAAGACGCAGGCTGAATGCTCGTATTATTTTCCATACACGACTTAAGTTTGATATTACAACCTTCAATTCAAAGTTTGTCAATATTTCATTAATCAAAAACTATACGAGATAAGTTGATGGGCAATCAGAACATTCACGGCTATGCGCTGATACAAGCTGTTTTGTTTTTCCGACTGGCTCTTTTTCCTATTACCCAACCTTTTAAAAAATGCGTTTTTTATTTTTCATTTCAAGATAGAGCATTATAAGTTACAAAATCAGACAGACTACGTTCAAATAGGTCTTTTCTTTTGTTTCTTAGTCGCCACATAAGTTCACATAGGTAGCTATCTAGACTTGAACGATGAGTTCCCACATTTTCCTGTTTCTTTATTTAGCTACATTCCACATACATTCAATTTTGTTGGTACATGCTCCAACTTTTGGATCCTTGAAGTTTTGACTATTGGTTACAGTCAGATTCCTGAATTCCTTTTCCGGTATTTGATTAGATTTTGAATAAATTGTCCGTTCATCAGAAATTATCAGAGTTGCTTTTTGAATTGATGATGCAATAGTTCAAATCAAATTTTCTTTCGTTTGGTTAGATACGGCATATAGAAAAGATTCCCCGTTTCTCTACAAATTCCGCAAAAACCCATTGCTCTTTGACAGCCTGGCCTCGATTATATTTTCTTTTTGTAAAAAGACTCTCGTCTATCTCTTCAGTTTTTTCAACTCCGCCAATTTTTATGGGATTAGCTAACAATGCTTGTGCACATACCTCTCTTAAGTAGTTGTTCCAATCGACAATCGTTTCTGTAGAAGATATTTCTAACTCTTGGCAAAATGCAAAAGTTGTGTAATGATTTGCCCAACCCAACAGGAAATAAATAGAATGAATTTGCTGTATGACAAATGTGCGCCATGAAACCAGGTGCCGCTTTTCAGTTTGGACTGATGTCTGCACTTTTTTGTATTGCAACGCCATCTATCTTCTTTATCAATTAAATGTAATTTCCTTACAGATCCACATTTAATACAGCATCTATCTGCATGTAACAATCCTTTCTCATCTAGAAAACTGATAGCTTAAGTTTCACCTTTTACAGTATTGTTCAACGTAATCAAATTCATTTTGAAATTTAATCAAAATTTTTTCACGCAGAAAGATGGAAAAAGTGTAAATTTCGGTCATTTCCGGTTTCCTAGACAACATCCGTTTCAAAATAGGATTCAAGGTTGACGCTAATTGGAATAAAAAAAAAACTCAGTCATGAAATTTTGCATGGCAAAATTTCAACAGAAAAAAGCTGGGGGAAGGGGGGGGAAGTCTTCCGACTTTCGGAGAAAGTGAGAAATAAATATGCTTGAAAATTTTTTTTACTCAGAATAATTTCTGCAATAATTTTTTTTTGCTCATTAGGGATCGATACCGGGTCATTTGTGATCACAGAAGGACTCCGCTCACCAATATATTAAACTACCTTTACGATTTCTGTGAAACGAGTGTAACTAAACTGCTCGTTTGATACTGAAAGTGTAAATCGAAATAATTATTCAAGGCGAATAATCCCGCGCTGCAACTTCGTTCCTAAATGAACTGAGGCAAGGTAATTGCTGAAAATGGTGCCATATTCGACTCATGTTTTAACACTTAAAACTTGATTTTATAGCCTAAAATACACAATTTTTCATTATTTAGTGAACTGAAAATTATTCGATAAGTTAATGGGCAGACGGAACATTCACGGATATGTGCTGATACGAGCAGTTTTGTTTTTCGCTTTTCGGGGACAAAACGCAAGTTCGGGGCATTTCAGAAACGCATGAAAATGCATGTCTTAGGTCGTCTTCTATCACCATATAGTGACGAAAATGTATGTTTGATTTTTTTTTGTTCAAAACACTTGCCGAAATTTTTTTTATTGACTGGGGATTGATTATTGTATATTCGTGTTCACGAAATTTGCGCACTAGCCAGTATTTTAAAGAGTTTTACTTTTGTAGTGAAACGTGTATAACTAAACTGATCATTTGATACTGAAATTGTAACGCAAATTTTTTTTGTGGCGGTTTAGTTATCCCACACTAAGAACTTGTTCCAAAATGAATTGAGACAAGCTAATTGATAATATTAATTCCAAATACAACTAAAGTTTTAACACTCAAAATTTGATTTTATTAGCCCAAGCTTCATAGTTTTTCATTTTTTTATTTAACAAAAACTACTTGAAGTCAGTAAAGGGGCAGTTGGAACATTTAGGGATTTTGCCCTGTTGTACGAGCAGAGCAGTCTTGTTGTTCCGACTTTTGTAACGAAAGTAACGGAATATTTGTGACTTTCGACTTTTAAACTAGCCGTTTTTGACAGAATTTTCTTATATCATTCAATAAGTATTGTTGTCTTGAGCTTAAGTTTGAAAAAATATTTTAATTGTGGTCCCATTTGTAAAGTTATGGGGGTTTAAAGATTGCCATTCTGACCAATTTGAGACAATTAACGAGTGATATATTTCGCGTTATCAACGCGTAAGCGGTGATTTAGTCCGTCTTAAAAATTGTTCCAAATTAGTTGAACGAAGCTTATTTTGCAGAATTGATTTGTTACTAGGAGCGAAATCTATCCTTTTGTTTTTTATATGGCGTGTGGGGGAATTATTTTCACAAAAATCTAATATTTTAGAAAAAAAACGAAAGTCGGAACAACAAAGTAGAAAAAGTTTCAGCAAAACAGATTTGCTTTTGTGGAACTACTACACAAACTTTCCTAAATATCACTTTAGCTCGATTTTACTGTAACGAACGATCACCAATTAGTTGCTGTTGAATGTTAATTTACAAAGATGCAGAAACCAATTCAATTATTTGACATAAACTTCAAGTATGTGACCTTTTGCCTCCCAATTGTTTTTTTTTCAACCTCTGTTGGCAAGCTCGCTACCTATATTAACCCAATTTTCAGCATTATACTTTTCAAAAACTCGAGCGAAAAATCTGCAATAAATTTAATAAATAAGAGAATTTCTGCTGATTTCTCGAAACAGATCCAAAGCTGTCAAATTTTAGAAGGACACTTTTTCCCCGTAATTATCTCAGAAAAAATGAAGCCAATGGTGCCCGTTTTCTAGTCGAAAGATCTCACCACAAATTGGTCCTTTTCATGGTTCTATCACAAAACGCAAACGCTTCGCGGGACTTCTCTGTCGATGCTCATGTCTTCTGTGGTACCTGTGTTTTACCAATGCTTATTGCAGCCAATGCTTATTGCAGCTCTTAAATTATTTTTTTTGGCCAAGATAAAGAAGGAACCCTTTTTAAGAAAAAAAAAAGACGCGTGAGCCAACCTTGAAGTTGGGCTCTCTCCTGTGATATCTGATGAAAAAAGCCCATTTAAGAAGACGAGAATATGGAAAAGAAGTACCAATGATGACGCCGAATCTAGCAAAAAATGAGCTCATCAGTCTCTTTTCACTGAAAATTTGGCTTATTTACCATTTATTGAACCCACTTACTTAAAAATTGGTTTCATTCAGCAGGCCATGTACAGTGCTGATTTGATATATCCGAGCAAAATGCGTATAACTTGTTGAAATTTAAATTAAAACGCATTCTTCTCAAACCGGGTCAATTACTAATTTATTTATATCGAAGTGAGCCTACTTAGCCAAACGCACTTTAAGAAGGGTATAATATCCAAAACATAGTATAAACTAATGTATTTTTGTTTGATTGACAAAAAGTTTGTTTTACTATATAAAAACCCAATTTGCATTTTAAAAAAATTCAAGAACGTGCCACTAAGATATATAGCCAGTTTAACATCCGGTTTGATAATACCAAGTTTGTTGAGTTATTTAAGAGGCTCACTTCGAAATAATTTAGTTAGTAATTGAACTAGTAGCTTCAGCTTAATTTTTGATTGACTAAAAAAACTAAGTAATAAACCATTTTTGGGCTAAAATTTTAG